ACAAAACCATATATCTGTGTGATTCATTGTTCCAGCCTTTGCTAGTCACTCTCCCTTCCCTGCCACTCAGAAACTCAAGTTCATGGTCCAGTCTTTTATGCTGGCTATCATTCATGAACACCAGAAGGACATGCTGATATTCAAGGGCTGATAGGCAGAAACAAATATTCAACACAGTTTCTGTTTCTGTTTCTCATCCTTCTTGCCTTTTTTTCCCCCCTCTACTTTACTTCTTCACCATCAGTTTCCCCTTTGTTTTTTCTTTCCTTCTTCCTGCATAATATAGAACCAATAGAGCTTGTGTGACTAAACATACGTACTCTGAAAGACTGTTACAAAAATGTTAGGGGGGAAAAAAAAACCCCTAAACATCAGGATTCGATTAATTTCTCTAGGAGCTGCTGCTGTAAAAGTCAGAAACACATAAACATCAGTCCTTTCTAGAGAGGAAAGTCATTGTGTGTATCATGCATAATGCATTGCCATGTGGCTGCTGAAGTTTAGTTTTGAACAAACCTTAAGTAAGAGAAGCAGGGTATGTTAGGCTCTAGTGGGGTATAGTAACTGAGATCTAGTACAATTCTAAATAAGCTATTTTGCTTTTGCAGTAAAAATAAGTTAATTCTAAGGTCCTGTATTTCTGCAGAGCCTGGCATTATGCCATGGTGAGCTCTAGAGAGTTGGAAAAGGAGACGCCTTGTAAGTACAAATAAACAAATCCAAACATGTACACAGAGCCCAAACCCTGAGTTTGGAAGACCTGGGAATAAGCTATTTTCTATCTACTAGTGCCTAAAAAGTATTTCAGAAAACTTATGTGAAACTCAGATTAAAAGTTTAAGAAGATAGAGCGAAATAATTCAATGTGTATTTTATGAACGATTGCATTGCGCCTTTTGATCCTATTCCTTTATTTCTTCTCTCACTTTCGACCTATCTTTCAACCTTGTATGGTAGTCAGGTTGCTTCGGTCCATCGTGCAACATCTCAGTGACAAATAGGTAAACTTGAGGTAATTTCACAACTGGAGAGGGATATTGGAAAGGCACAGGCAGTTTCTAGAATTTTCTAGTAGGACTACATCAGCCACAAGTATATGTAAAGAAATTTGCTCTTCACTCAACAGTAAACACCTATTGTGCTGCTCTCAACATGCTGAGGTGCTCTATACTTTATATATTCAATTTCAGTTTTATTCAGTAACAATTCTTATCTCCCGTGGACGCCTCCAGTCTGGAAGTACTGATGCTTCCATGGCCTTTGAGTGGCAGTATACACTCATCAAAATTTGATGCCTCATTACCCATTTAAAAGGTGTTGGCCAAATTCTGATATTAAATACAGTAATGAAAAATAAGAGCTAACTGTATTAGCACACTGCAACCTGCAAAGGATTTTTTAAATCTTAAAATTGGATTTAGAATATCTAAATTATATCTAGATCATATTGTCCTCATAAGAAATACATCAGAGGAAGATAATTCTTGCTTTTTACCTGGATCTATTCCAATTAGGCTTTCTAGCGTCCTTATCTTTTGTGCTGCTTCTGCTGATACAATACTGTAATGCAAAGGATCTTGAGAAATGCAGTGGACTTGTGGAACTTTTCTTGAGGACCCAACTGTGACTTCATTGTTCTTTAGATCAGTAATGAACATGCAGCCAGGAGAATGAGTAAAAGCTAATGGAGATCCTAAAACAAGTGAGGGGGGGAAAAAAACAAAGCAACTTGTTAAAGCAATATTCTAATATATCAGAATGATATAAAAAAATAAGGAAAGCTTTGTTTTAACAAAATAGTCTTGGTGAAAGATGTGTGCATATACATCTGAAAATATATTTTCACTTTTAAAATGTTCATGTAGGTGGTTGAGATCAGATTTTTATCCCCTTGAATATGAACTTGAAGCAGCTTTGGAACTGAACAGCAGAATGAACTCCAATGAAGTCAATGGGGAATTGACAGTTATGAGAATTGGGTTCTACATGTTCTACATGCAGCATGAAAAAAAATTGTAGCACTGACATAAGAGCAAGTTAAGCTGTAAATGTCTGCAGTGTGTTAGCGGTATAATTTATAGAGGGGAAAAATATTTGTTTTCTAGTTTCTGGAACTTTGCTGAAAGCTACAGTGTCTCTGCACACGTGAATATTCTTTTAATACAGGGATATGACAAAATTGTCAATTACTGCCTGCTGCGTAGGAGTAGTCCTTTATCAACTTAAGAAAATAGGGAACAGCTTCTTTGCACTCAGTCTTGCCTACCTATCTAGGAGAGCTATAAACTGTAGTTGGCAAGGATTAATGACAAAAGCTTACCAGTAAGCCTTAGCAAAGGCAATCTCAATAGCATCTAAAAGCCTGGTGAATAAGCTTATTTAAATCTGACAACATAATAGGTTCCTATGCTGAAAATATATATATATATGTATATATATTTTCTTTATACTGATACTAGAAGTACAGGGGGAAAACCAGAAAGATCTGGAATCCTTAATAAATGATCTATGGGTCATATTTATTTGGCTAAATTGATATGTGGTTGGATAAGCTGCATGACTGGTATACTCAGTATTGCTTGTTTAAGATGGGGGGAAAATGGAGGAATGTGTGTGTGATTTATTTCAAATACAGAAATGAGCAGCAAGTCAGGAGTTTAAATATCTAGCTGAAAAAGGAACATAGAGAATTACAGTGTGTCTGACATTCTTAGACTCTCTTAAAATATTTTATTAATTCAAAAAAAAAATGGAGAAATCAACAATTGCATAAATGCAGGATAGATCCTTGAAGTTGGAGCTTCCACTATACAGTGTGTCACACTTATTTCTTTTTTTCTGGAAGAAAAACTGAATACTCCAAAATCAACAGAGATAATTACAAACCCTTTTCAGGTTAATCAAGTCACTAGTTCTTGACAAAATGGAAAGATTTTTGGCAGCTCTATTTCTTCCTTTATATTTCTGTAGTATAATATAAAATAATATTGTAATAGTAAAAAAAAAAAATGAAAAAGAAAGCCTTTAAACATCTAATATTTAATAAGGCTCAAAAAAAAAAAAAGTTTGGATGCTACTAGACTTTCATTTTTTTTGCCATTTACATAACAGTCTCCCCCCAGCCCCCCCCCAAAAAAATAACTTCAGCAAGAGCTTCCTTTAAAGGTAGAATTGTCTCACAATTAAAAAAAAAAAGTCTTTAGCTAATTCTAGGGAACAGAAGTAGAAATCAAGCCTGATAATTAGTCAACTCATTCTATGCATATGTTTTTACACAAATAAGTACAATTTGAAGGATAATTTTTAAAAGTCTGCGAAGATGGCACTTACTGCAGCTGATGATTGCTTCTACTCCTGTTACTCCACATGCCCAAAACACTGGAATATCATCAGGTTGAAGGTCAACTGGATCTCCATAGTCTGGTTTGGAAAGATCTCGTATTCCCAACAAACCTGCCATTGATTAACAATAAAAGCATTGTAGATTCCACTTAAGCAGTAATATTATAAATGGAAGAGCATCTCACTTGATGACAACAAGCTAGAATCGCAGCAGCAAACCCCACTGAAGTGGCATATTTTTTTGCCTTTGACATTATATCCCTAGAACATGAGCTGTCTTGTTTGTTCTCTTTCCTTTTTTTTCTGTACATGACTACATCTGCAAAAACCATAAAAACATATTTCCTGAATTTGTTGCAAAATATAAGCCCGGTATGTATGAATTTTTTTCCAAGATATTGTATCTTCTCCTTCAACAGAAGAATTATATTCATAACACTGGCAAACAAGAATAAATGACTTCAGTGAAAAATGCTTTTTCCTAGAACACATTTTCTGTTGCTTTAGCTTCACACCTTATTCAGCTAGAAAGACAAGGCAGAGAGATTAGAGACCTCATTGGGTTAGGTAACTAGATCTCACTCTAGCACAGCTTTCCCTGAGTTCTTTTGCTTTATTAAAATACTTACTTGTAGCATTCTGGGTCATTCTAAGCACTTTCTCTCTTCTTTTCATTTTACATTTGTCCAAAACTAATTTAACACTGTCTTTTCCAGAATTTATATAATCAGAATACACAATCAATCTCCCTTTTCTAAGTGGAGACTTTAATTACCTGAATCATCTTGTTGCTCTACTTAAAGTTATGACTTATGACGAGTTTTCTCAAATCTAAGCACTGCTGTGACCAGATATATTACTGAGGGGGAGTGTTACTGGTGCCATCTCCTTCCATGGTCTGCAATGAGATCCTTCTGTGTATGCAGGACACAGAAGTGCAAATACTGTCATTGCCATAAAAAAAATTCCCCCCTCTTCACCTCACAGTTTCTTATCCTTCTTCCTACTGCCTCCAGCCTAAACATCAACATCCTATTTTATCGTTCTTTCAATTTTCCTCTGCAAAGAATAAGCTAATATTTGCTTGAGCTGGATGCTTTTAATCATTCTTGTCATATTTCCAAACTCCCTGTGCATTTTATTTATGTCTTAAGTGATACGATCAATGCCAATGTATCTTACTTCAGTACTTAAATATAATGCAGCATTTACTTTCACAGTCATAACTGAACACATAAGAAACATCCACACATATTTTTCTCTGTGCTGTCAATCACTGCTCCTCTGCCAGTCTTTGGCAACAAGGAAATGTTTACACAAATGAATTGCATGCAATAAAATTGCATGCACTTGAAAATTGTGGTTAGACTAGTTATCAAAACTAGCCCTCCAATATAACTACGTTAGTTAGGTGTCTATCTATTGTCCAAAAATTCTGGTTCAGCTAGTTAGAAATCTGGATTTTGCTTCCATTCATGCCACAGGTTAAACATGAAAAGGGTTAAAACATCATAAATGTATTGGTGCAGCCGTTGCATTCCCATCACTTCCCCTGCTGCCAACCATCTCCAAATTCTATATACAATAAAACTTGCAGAATAAGAAATGAAAAACACTGACCAGGGTTACCAATGTGGACTGGTGCTCCATGGGATTCTTCCAATTCGGAGGTTGCTAGCACAGTTGCTTCTAATTTGTTTGCAGGAATAGGTCTCATGGTGACTACTAAGTTGCAGCTGAAAGTAGAAACACTGTAGCAAGGCACAGATGTCTGATAATTTCAAAAAAAAAATCCAAGGTGTTAGCAGGAATATTAATACTGCAGGTCTCAAATTTGTGCTATATTTGAATTTAAAAAGCCTGCATAATAACTTATCATTTACATCTTCTTTTATTATTCTTATTTTTAAATTCATTTAGTGTATCAGGCAAGTGTGTGCATAAGATTCAGCAGTGTGCAAGCCAAACATTCCACCTCTGAGCTTTTTAATACAAACATCATAAAAATTTAAGCACGTGCTAAGGTTTAAATTCTTGTTTCAGTGCATTCAGTGAACTCAATATATTCTGAATGATGTCAGAAAACAACCCTGTGATTCCTAAATGGAGAACAAAAGGATATTGGCAAATCTACTTTTATGTATCTGTACTGGAATTCAGGGAAACTCTGTAACACGTGAGAGTCAAGAACTCTTATTCTTGGTGGTAGAAAGCATCTGCTTCTATAGAAACAGTTAGGAAGCTCCCCAGATGCAAAATCTTTAGTGCTTAAAGAAAAGGAAGGGAAGGAATTCATCCCGACTGTCTGGGATACTGAAATTTCTTTTCTACTCAGAAATACAAGCAGAATGAATTTCTTAGAATAAAATGCCTGATATCCAAGTTGCATTTGAAAAAAAAAAAAAAAAAAAAAAAAAAAAAAAAAAAAAAAAAAAAAAAAAAAAAAAAAAAAAAAAAGAGAGAGAGAGAGAATTTTATTATATAAAACTACTATATCTGTAACTAAGAAAAAAGTATATAATTGAGTATTCACTTTATTGATGTAAATGCTATAGATAGTGATACTAATACTATAATGTTATACACAAATACTTAGTTGTGATTTTTTTTAAGCTTGGTAGAAAGTCTCAGTATGAGATATATTTGTTCCTTCATTTTTTCACTAGTGATATAGCAAAAAAGATTGACAAATCATAACGTTGCAAACAACAAAAACCTTGGTTTAGAAGAACACCTTCACTGGCTCTATGAAGAAAACAAGCAGATTTATTAAGTGTTCTAAATGTTAAGGGTCTACAACCCAGTGCCAGAATTATACCAAGGTTTTCACCTATAGTAAAATTCCCACTCTACATTTTGCAAAGTAACAATCTTAAATGCCATGAAGGATATTTTAACTTTTTGAGAAAAACATTTTCTGTCCCAGAGGCTTAGATCTTTTGGCCTGGCTTCACAGCAAATATGCGGTTTAAAGGCTCTACAGCTGTAGGAAAATTGAAAACACAACTTTCATACATGCCGAAGAAAACTCCTTTTTGTCATGCAACATAAAAATGACTCCTGTGTGCTGGAGTTTGTGTGGAGAGGACACGTGGAAAGCTGATGGTCAGAATTCTGCGTGGGTCATCAATAGGAATGGGGAAGGAGTCCTAAAGACAAGGCTACCATGGTACACAGGGAAAACTTTGTTACTGTAAATGAATAATAAACCATTTCAGTTGCCCAGAAAGTTAGACAAGCACTGAACTGATGCTGGGCATATTTTACCCTGAATATTCAGGCATTTGGCACTAGCACTCTCCTAAAGGTACTGTAAAAGGAGGGAGGGAAAAAGGCATGATTTCTGAGTGATAAGCATAGGCACCTGATATGAATATGGTAAATACTCAGAGAAAATAAATACTCAGACAAACACAATTTGTCTATGTATAAAAATACACTTTACCTTGTACATGCTCACGTTACACTTTTGCTCCACATTTCTCACAGGAATGCCAGCATTCTGCAGTGCCTTTTCAAAAGAGAAGCTGCAGCCTAAATAGAAAGTCACCATGTCCTTGAGTTGTTCAGCATATTCCTTTAGACTTTTTAGAGATCCAGTAAAAGCTCCATACTCATATAACCTGTACTGCAGGCAGTCAGTTCTAGTTGGGAGGAAAACAAGTTATCATAGCTTTATTGTACTTTTTGTTAAGTAAAATGCATGACAAAAATTTCTTTGAATTTACATTACATCCAATATCAAAGCAGAATATATAGGCTATTTTGTCCTTTTCTTTCTGAGTAACAAGTAAACAAACACAGAGACATGCAAAACAAAATCTCAAAACATCTACAGGAAAACAAGCCACCACAGTGAATGTGTATGAATAGAAGTAAGTATCTTCAAGGTTTTATAGGTAAATGTCCCCTATGGGTATTTTCTCTCAGGATTCAAAAGTTGGGGAACAGGTTGAAGTCTTGTTTTAAGTGTTTGTTCTAGAAGTACATCTCTTAAATCCCAGTAACACTGCAAATATCACCATGACTACTAAATAAGAGATAAAACACCATTTAATTTTGTAGGCTCAGACAGCAAAATTTTAATCACACAGAAAAACCTCTTTTACTTTGTGATTCTGACAATTATGATAAGCATCTCCAGAACAAGATGATCAGACTGTTTCGATTCTGTTATATTCATGCATAGATTTAATGCAGATGTGAAACACCCCCAAGAAATTTGTTCAAAATGTTCAGCAGTAGGCTCTGGAGTAATGATTTCTTCAAATTGCCATTAGCCTGAATTTCAGAGTTTTGAGAAATCCATATTTACCTGATATCAGAATCACTGCTCAGGGAGGGGCATTTCCAATCTCCTGGCTGACTTCTGTACAGCAGTGGTAGTGGCCCTGCGTTTGCATGGCAAAACTTTTCAAAGTCATCAGCAAGAGATTTGTGCAGAATCACAATATTGGCCTGTTTATAGCCTGAAATTGTGGAAGGAGGAATAACTGGTTATTAAAACTGTTTATTAGAACTGTTTAGAGATCATCTATACATATATGGTAACTGAAGCAAATTTTAGACTCAGACTTCTGTAATCAAATTGCACTGCAACTGTTTGAAATATCTTTAAAATTCCAGCTAGATGTGCTCTGTACGTGTAATTGTTTTTGGCTGAAACAGCTGGGAAGCATGGGCAGTACTAGAATCTGAAGACAATATAATATCTTTAATAAAAGTTTCTGTGAGAAAATAGAACAGTACAACTGCTTTGAGCTAAACAGAAGTCTAATAAAGAACCTGGAATATTAATAATGCAAATATTACATATTAATATATGCAAATTTTAGCATAGACTGCAAAAAAAATACTGCATACCTCACTTGGACCATTTTTATTTATTGGCAGGGTGTATATATATATATATTTATATATATTTATTTATATGTATGTCAAGGCCAGTCCATCCACCAGTATTCTGTCATTACATTACCCATTTTTCAGTGTTCTAGCTGGCTGTGAATTTTTACTTTGGGCTTCATTTTAACAGACAAAATTACAGCTCAAGCCTGACATTCAGACATTCAGCAAGCAAAAGCATTTTCATTTCAGCTCTTTCCAAATTAAAAAAAAAAAAAAAAAAAAAAAAAAAAACCTGGGAAACAGCCATTAATACCCAAACCATTTTCCTTGTCTTGCATGTGAATACCAGCACAGAGTGGAAATATGAAGTACAACTAACATGTAGTGTACAAAAATATAAATTAACAGTCCTTAACTCTCATATTAGTAGTGACTGATCATATTCTTTATCAAAAATTGTCCATGAATCCCAAAGACTAAGTTATATTCCTGAAGAAAACAGCAAAGCAAAGGTTTAAACTGAGGTAAGCACATATTTGCATACTAAATGTGCCTGCAAAGTGTTCTCTTGGGACTGCTCAGCACAAAAATTCACTTTATTGCTAACTAAAGTTACTAAATACAGAAGCAGTTTATTGCTAAATATAGCTATGCATTTTTTTGTTAAGTAAACATATTAAATTTAATATGAAATAAAACAGTATATTCAGTTAATCCTCAAACCCATTCCCTGCCACACACATGAAATCCACAGGCACTTTCGGCTTTGCTGATGATATTGAAGAATTCCTAAAATTATGGCTTTAGTTAATGCATCCAACTCGGGCACCACTGTATTTGAAATCCTAGTCACATCTGATGCACTGGACCTGTAGATATCTTCTAGGTGTCTAGGAGTTATAATCAAGCTTCTTAACTTTATAGAACAACTGAATCACTTCTCCTAAGGTCCTTCCTCTCTTTATGGATGGGAAAATGTAATAGAATCATATTATGCTTGTATGTATGTTCATAGTTAAAGGTTGAAGTCGTTTTGTATGTAAAACAGTTCTTTAAATATTGAAGCTACTGCATTTACATCTAACACATTAGTGCATACATTCAAAAGGACATTTTGGGCAAGCTAAAGATCATTAGCACTATAAAATATTTCCCATTAGTTATCTTCCAACTTCTGTGCATAAGAAAAAGGCAACCATACTTACAAGGCTCACTCTCATTCCAGCAAATGACCCTTAATGTTCTCATGCCATAGACATGCCACTATACACAGCTCTGTTGCTGAGTTAATACAAATAAATCTCTTGTGGCAAATAAGATATACTTTAAAGTTGATGACATATTTTAAAGAATGATGACAAAATTCTGTTTTTGTAGAAGTACAACTATGAGAGATGCAAGACAGAAATCAATTCTTCAGAAAGTTTTAGAAAGTATAAAGCTATCCCTACCCTCTTCCACACAACTCGGTTTCACTGAGTTCGTGTCCAACTTGCGCAACAAATGCAGCAGAAAACCACTTCTACAATTACATTCCTCTGGTTCTTCCCAAAAAATGTGTGCTAGGCACTAAGTCAAGCAAGGTTCTTGTAAAGAACACAGTATGTCATTTTATAAATGTGATAATATATGTATGTAAACGAAGTCAGGTTTGGTTGAAGACTTTTCAAGTGTTTTCTGAATTTCTAACTTCTCACTGGCTTAATTGGGGACCTGTGGGATACTTGGCAGTTTTGAAAGCAAAGTCTATGTACTTTACAGAGGTAGGATGAAATATTTTCTTTAAAGTAGCCTTGTGATTAAAGAACATAACCTCAGGTGCTTAAAATGTGATTTTTAAAAATACCCTAGTGACTTAAGAATGTAGGGCAACTCGACTTTTCTACTGTTTTACTTCAGTGCTTTCAGATTTCCTACTTTCCTTTAAAGGCAAAAAACAAAACCAGCCATGAATCTAAACTGGAGCTACTTCTACACTTTCAGATTTACTTACCTTCTGCCATTCCAGAAGTATTACTCATACTAAGTCTATTGCAGCGAATTATTCTTCTCAACACTTGGGGAAGAAGAGACTTCAAGTTTCCTGTCAAAAGCATCTCTTCAACCTGAACAGAAGCACATTGTTATATATTTAGACACAAAGCAAGTGTGTGTATAGATTTTTTTTTTTCATTTTAAATTCAGATTTTCTGGAGATCTTAGTTAAGTTTCCTCCTTGTGCCCTCTCTCATCCCACAAGGTTAATATCACTGGGAAATTCATTCTTACAACTCAAAAGGCAACTCAGGTCAAAGGGTTATTTCACTGGCGTATTATGATTAAACTCAAATTGAATTATTCAAGAAATTAGTCAGAGAAGTGCAGTTTATCATTCTGGATAAAGAGCAGAGTTCATTTTTTGTTTGTTTGTTCATTTTTTTTCTTTCCTTTTTCTTTGTTAGATATTCTTAGAGTATTCACTTGTTGGATTAACCAACCAAGCAACAATCTGTAATATTACTTCTCTGCTGCAAATGCTTTTAGATAATTAGCACTGTAACTTTGCCATGAAAAAGAATTATATTTGGAAAATGTCATTTTAATATTGTTCTTATCTATTGTATTTCTCAAATATTCATTATGCAGAAATGAATACTCCTGCGCCTATTTTTCCAATGAGAAAACAGTCATATAGATGCTTAAGTCATTTTCTATATAATCTGGAGTAGAAACAGAGATAAGTACCCTAATTAGAGTCAATATCTGTCTCTCTTTAGATCTTTGGAAGATTGAAGAGATCACTGTTTGCAGTCTAGTCAAAGTCCATACAGAGTCTTTTATCTCAATCTAAACTACCTAAAAAGTAAGAGGCATTTATTTCATTAGAAAAAAAAAAGTGAAAAATCAGGATAAAACAATAATTTGATGGCTTATGATTTCAACATTGGCCACTTTTTCACAGTCCATCTTGGAAAGAACATGTCTCAATAACATGTCTCTCCAAATAAAAGAAAATGAGCTATCTCCCAAGTAATGAAATTACAAAAGTACCTCCAAGGTTGTCTTTAACTCAGAAGCAGCCATTCTTGATACCATTCTAAACAAGTTATACATATAACAGAAGCTGTGCTCTTCCTTTTAAAGACGCTGGTAAATTAATGTACAATGAGTTGTTAGAGGCTTCTAGCAAAGGTTAACTTTTCTAGTAAAGATCCACAGTGTTTCATATAATAACTGTGATGGTACAAGTTGTAACCTTCACAATGAAGTAGAAAATATATGAACCACTTTATTGTGAAAATTTATACTTCTGAGCAACTCATTAGTTGCTTTACTTGAAGCATGAGCAGTGGAATGCTTTGACTGAAACTTCCCTTTCATCATATGTTGTCTGTCCAAAATGTTTCCAAGGCTTGTAGAATTCTAAGAGGTTGTCGGGTGCACTGAAATTCAGAGCAAGCTTTGCATCTGGTCTCTGAAGCATTTATTTCTTTTGGCTGATGATCTTATATAAACATTTCAGAATAAGAAAGAATTTTGTTTTATGAACTTTGACTTACTACTTTCTGACTCATCTTATACTCTCTTCTATGTATCAGACTGTATGCTGCATGAAAAAAGTCTTCATTACAAATTACGAGCAATTCCAAATACACACTTCAAAGTCAACAAGAATTTGGATTGAGAAGTGTGGCTGAAACCCATTCCAGGCCTATAAGGTGTCAATTTTAATGAGTCTTACTGGAAATAATTTCAAACACTAATCTGGTGTTATTCATTCAAGAGGTATCAGATCAAATACAGTGATCCTAACAAACATTTAAGATGTTTTCATTAGATTCTTTCAAATGACTTTTCTTTATTTCTAAGTATCACTGAAATCCCCTACAAAACTGAAGGCCTTAAGAGAAGACCACCTAAAGTTTAGGAGATAGTGTAGGCCAAGTCTTCCTCTTGCTATTTTGTCAGAAAAGCCAAGGTAAAGGTTGGACAAGCCTGATTCCATACTCTAAAATTGGACTAAGAAAACTAATTTTCTTCACCTTACATTTAAAATATGAGGCATTCAGATACCATCCTATTGGTAGGTATGTAGCTATCATAGGTAGGAAGTTGTCTTCTTTAATCTTCAAATACTGTTGTGAACTGGTATAAACTGAAAAAAATCCTTCTGTAGCAGAGGTGGAAGTTCCTCTAGGACTTCCTTACCAAACATTTAAGAGCATGAAAGTTTTAAGCTCATGTAAGAGTGACTACTGACTTTGTAAATCTGACAATCATATAAATACAAGCAGCACTGAACTGCTGGCTCTATGTTCCTATAGAAGTATTTGGACATGTAACTCAGTCATGAAAGCAGAACCTCGTTGCAAAGCAATAAAATGTTACTGGTGAATTAGCTGGGACATGAATAAAAATTAACAGGCTGATTCACCTCTCTCAGATGAGAGAGAAAACTCATCTCATGCCCATTTGTTATCATTAAAGTTCCTGTGATGATTTTTGTTCAAGTAGCGAATAACATAGTACTAAAATTTTCCTTTATAACTTTATGCCACTTTATTTCCTGTACAATGTTAATATTAGAGAATGTTCTTGTTTTTCTTTACTAGCCCCGAGATTTAGATAGTGAGGGTAAAAACGGTTAACAGAAACTAAGTTTTGCAGTGAATGTCTATCTGACTTTTTCAGGAATGGCCGGTTTCTAAGCACCATGATGTTTCCCAGTGTTAGGAGGCATTTTTATGTTACAGATTCTCTGAATATTGCCAGGATCTCCTGGAAAATACTTGGAGCCACTATGGCCTATTTAGAATAACAGGGAAGAAGTACCGGGATATCTCAGGTCTTATCCACCATATTAGAAGCTCAATAAATATGTCTTAGATGTTTATGCGAAGACTTAATATATTCCATGTGTTTGATACAAATAATTCAAAACTTTAAGGGCTGATTATTAGAATATATTGCTGTCTGACACATTAAAGTGCTACTTACCCTCTACTGAGCTGTGGGCACTATCATATTCTGAGCTACACTTAATAGATCTTAACAAGGACAATAGAGCTTCAAAGTAGGGAAGAGATAACTACCTATAAGAATCAATGAGAATGCAATCATTTACACCGACCTGTGTGATTAAACAACGATGGTAGTATGGCATATGACATATCATTAATTTGACTTGTCAGAAACAGTACTGCACAGAAATAACATTTTCAGAAGACACATATTCAGGAAAAATGCTCTGACTGCCACTTTGACGCAAAGAAATGTACTACAGTTTGGTAAAAAATCTAAACAGATTGGAGTCTTTTTACTAAATAATTTAGTTAACTAGTAGCTTAATCAACTAAGTAATAAAGTATTACATGACATCTAACTTCACTATACGTCTGGTGTAGCTTCACTGACTTCTATATACATAGGCAGATGCACATGATCTGATAATTTCACCCTGCTGATTTATAGAGTATTCCATTATTCAGACAACAGTTTTCAGAAAGGCCAGACACGGAGACTGAATATTTCCATTTTTCAGAAATAGTGGTGAATTGTTACAATGAGAATCTCTAAATCATTCACCTTCTCATGCCCTTCTCCACATGCTGGTTAAGCATTGGTTCCCGTGTGCAATGAAATGTTGATTTCTACTAACACAATTATAATGTATAATTGGAAGTAGTAGGTTCCAAGCCTGTGTACAATGGTTTGTAAAGAACATGCTGCATTTACTCTGAATCCCCCAACTCGTGTCTGGTAGAAGGAATGTTGAGGGGGCGTCACTTGATCCTGTTTTAAAACACAAACAGTGCTTTGAAGAGGAGTATCTTTGCTAAAGATTCACTAGTTTCTGTTTTAAGCCTTATGTGGTAACAAAGTTAGTTTCTGTATAACAAAGTAACAGTTAAATGTTCAACAGCAATACTTAATAATAACATCCTTCACCTTTCCCACAAAACCCTCAACTCACCACGAAACAAGAAAAATGCAGTTATAGCCTAGGTTAAATAATGAAGCTGGGTCAGATGGTTTGAATGACCAGCAGAGTCTTCTTCATATCATCCCGTTGTTCGTGTGTGCAGGGTAGCTCCTCAGCTCTAGGTCTCTGTCTCTCCTTCCTCTGTCTCCTCACCTTTGAGCTGGAATGATCCCCTGGGAACAGCTCGTTCCCTTGTTTTGTCTGACTGCACAACGTGCCTATGGGATTTGGACATTCTCTCCTCATTAGCTATCTTTTATTTACAGGCTTATTGTATCTCTCAATTATAGGACCTCTCAACCTTAAGTTAGCTCTTCCTGATCTCAGTATCACTGAGATAATGTGAGGTAACTTAATAAACCATAAAACACAATAAATATTAAATGCACAAGTGGCTTCTAGATTTGTAATATTTTGACTCCTCAGAGCCTCAGTGATCTACATCTTTCTCACTACACTTACATAAATATATGTATGTGATACATATATATATATATATCATAAATACTTATAAGTATTAAGGATGATAAATTTGGATTAAACAAACTTTGCCTTTTTCTAATTAATTCTTTCATTGCACCTCATGAAATTTGACAGCAGAACCACCAACTAACCTTGCTGCAATGTCTATCTTTACACTGAATTTTTGATTGAGCTTTATCTTACAAAGAATGTTTATAATCTATAGATTATAATCACTTTAGATAAAATGAAAAAGAAGGAAGTGGAGTGACTGAAATATTTTGCATTGCCATAGATCTTTAAAAGGTGAATCTGTAAAATTTATAGATATTTAAATACGAGTGTAGATTCTTTCAAGGCCCATATTGTAAATTATTCATTACATAAGAAAATGGAAAAATGTCATTTAACTGTCAAAAAGATTACACTTTGAGATGTAGTGGGTGTGTCCACATACAGCTGTGCTAAATTACACCAGATAAAGATGCAAAAAGACTTATATAACTGAAAAGGCTTAAAATAGCCTTCCAAAGTTTCAGTGTGACTGCCTCACCTTTACAAGCAACAAGCAATTTCATGAACTAAAATGAAGGAAAGGCAACAGGATAAGGAAGGCAAAGAAAAGGGCAAGTAGGAGGCAAAGTGAGGGGGTGAAAAGCCCACAGATTTCAACATACACGGACAACAAATCTGCTTGAGGCCGTACAATGTTATGCATAATATTTTCCCCACTCTCCTTCTTTCCCCAAAGCAATGGTTACTTCATATTTTATGTTTTGAAATTCTGCAATATATTAGTTTTAACAGTTAGCAACGTTGATTAGGAGCAGCTTGTCCTACTTCTGCATTGAAAGGATCTTCTTGACTATCACGGCATACCCAGAAGGCACCTGGCCAAAGTCCTTTATTTAGGTTTAAATAGACTTCTGAACCTAAACTGGTGTTATCCTTTGGGCATAAAATGCTAACGTGGTACTTTGGCACATGTAAATAGAGAACATATTGAGGAAAAATGCAGATCTGCAAGAGGAATGCAGTTTTATGCTGACCTGTGGCCTGTGCTGGTTCTGCAGGCAGAACTGCCTGCCAACTCTTTTATATCCATAAACATTCTTTTAAAAGGGAGAAGCTGGAAGGTCCAGAGCATTGGCAGTGAGGGAACTTCTCATGCGAGTTCCAGTTACAGACTAGATCAGATATCTGAGGATTAGATGCTGTCACTGTTGGCTGTTCAGTTGGCTGTTCATTACAATGCTGGTTGTAGCCGGACAGAGCCAGTATCTCAAACCTTCCTGTGCAATTTGAACAAAGAGCTCAAAAAGCTGAAAGAATACCCAGTTTGTACTGTTATCCCACCAAATTAATCCTGAGCTTTTATTCCTTTTCCCTGTGTTCTGAGCGTAAACACAGT